GTGTCTTGAGTGTCCTCTCCCATCCATGTCATCTAAAGGCTTGTCTTTACCTTACTATTGCCAAGACTGGCCTTAAACGCCTTATTTTTTTTCTGGTTCAACCACCTAGATGTTGGGATTACAGGCATAAGCCACTGTGGCTGGCTTTTCTAGCATCTATAGGTGTTGTTCTTGTGTTTTCATGTTCAGAAATTTACTTCCGGGATCTTCTGAGGACAGAATGTCTCTTTCCGGGCTCTGAGATAGGGGCAATCCTATTTGAGTCTCTCCACATTGAATTCTTACTATAAATGTTTAGCTGGGAAACTCCACCTTAGCCCCCTCCTCCCTCTCCAAACTCTGCCCCTAAGAAAGCCTGCCAAGCAGCAGCTCCTCCCCCAGAGCTCCCCAAGACTGTGCGGACAGGTATTTAAGCTCCGGTCTGTAGAACTGCCACATGATTTCTCCTCCCTACCCCCCACCCCCAAGGTCACCCGGGGGATGCTTTGCTCATTAAACCTGGACTTTTAATTCAACTTGATTTGGCCGAATCAAATACCCACTAACTGGGGATTTCAAAATACTTGTCAATAAACAGGGTCTCAATGCAGTCCAGGCTGACCTTGGACTCACTGTGTAGCCTAAGATGGCCTTAGCCTTCTGATCCTCCCAATTCCAACTCCCAAGTGCAAGGATTAGAATCGTGTGCTGTCATGCCCCCAGTTTATGTGGTCCTGGGAAGTGAACTCAAGGCTTCACACAAACACCACCAACTAAGCTACAGCCCTAGCCCTAACTCCATTTCTACTCACAATCAGGACAAACTGAGAACAAGATACAAAGTTGGGAGACTGGGAGGCAGAGACAGGAGGACTGTAAATTGAAGGCCAGCTTGGGTTGCAGAGATAGATGTATGTAGAGAGACAGAGACAGCAAGAGAACAGGAGACAGTCAGGGTTACCCAAGCACTACTAAATGCATACACAGGATCAGGACTGATGGTTCACACCTTTAATCCCAGCATTCAGGAGGCAGAGGCAGGTGGATCTCTGTAAATTCAACATCAGCCTGGTCGACATGGAGAGTTCTAGGACAGCCAGAGTTACATAGAGAGACCCTGCATCAAAAGAAACAAATAAATAAGTAAAATTTATAGATAGTTATCAGTATCCCACTGTCCACTCAGCTGCTTCTGCCTTGTTTCAGACTTTCTGACATGCAGGTTGGTTAATCCAATTATCTGAGTTCCCAGAGGCTCACCAACGTGGGCACTTCTCTGTTGGTTGATCATTCTCTAAGGCTCTTGCTTATATCCTTTTATTCATACATGAGTCAGGACCTTGGACACAGTCCTCTCTCAAGCCTGTTGTCTTGATTTCTATGACTCTCCCAGGGGCAAAGCCCGGGTTCCCCTGTGCGCTTGCTTGAGACCGTGAAGCCTGCAGTGACCAGGGAAGACGCGCCGTGGGAGTGGGCACTTGTGCCTGAGCCAAATCCTAGGTTTGGAAAGAGCTCTGCCGGGGACTTCCGAGTGGAACTTCACAGCGTCCTCGTGTGACCCTTCAAAGAAGTCACACATTATACTTAGTAGGGGCTTCGACCTTTGATATGGTGGAGGAGGTTAAATGGTGGAGGCGGTACTTCAAATAGCGTCTGCAGGTTGTGCCTTGTCTCATTCTCCTTGCTGAAAGCAATCTGAAGTTTCACTTTTGTTGCAGGTTTATTGTCTTCCAAATTAGAAGTTAGTAATTTAATTTGTTATTGCAGCGCTACCAACGTAAGCTGCCACGGCAGAGGTTTTTACTTTTTGCTGGTCTATTAAATGCAAGCCGGATTTGACTCATTAAGCTTCTAACTTTCTCTACAGTCATTTTGAAATGTTTGTAGATACATTTATCACCTTTCCCCCTGTGTGACTGGGGAATCTGTTCTAAAGACGAGGCATGAGCCTGGTGGTGGTGGTGGTGGTGGTGGTGGCGGCGGCGGCGGCGGCGGCGGCGGCACATGTTTTTAGTCCCAGCACTCGGGAGGCAGAGCCAGGTGGATCTCTGTGAGTTCAAAGCCAGCCTGGGCTACAAAGTGAGTTCCAGGAAAGGCACAAAGTGAAACCTCGTCTTAAAAAATAAAAAAAAAAAAAAAAGAGGCATATGGTAAAGCCATACCAGGACATGTTTGTGGCTCATAAGTCAGTTTACATGTTTTATTCTCAAGGATTTTTTTTTTTTTATCCTGGCAGTTATTGATGGATTGTTTTCTTCTTGGTAGTGCTGGAGATTGAATTTAGGGCCTTGTGTGTTGCTAGGTAAGGGTGGTACCACAGAGCTCTCTCTATCCACAGCTCCTTTATTTGTTTACTCATGTACCTATTTATTGTTTGTTTGGAGATGGGGTTTCCAGGAACCCAGGTTAGCCTTGAACTCCCAGTGTAGTTAAGGCTGAGGATGACCTGGAGCTTCTCATCCTCCTGCCTCCACCTCTGGAGTCCTGGGACACAGGTGAGTACCTCCACGTGCAGTTTATCTGGTGCTGGAATGGGATGCAGGGCTTCATGAATGCTGGGCAAGAACCAGTCCTTGTTTTTCTATCTTGAGACAGGGTCTTGCTAAATTGCCCAATAGTTTCGTTGTTGTTGTTTTTTAATAAATAAAGTAGTTATTTATTTGTTGTAGGTGTGTATATGTATGTGCACAAAAATGCAGATGCACATATATG